AGGATGCAGCCCATGAATTTGGACACGACCTATGTCTTATTTTCCATGTTTCATTTCAGTCTGTGCTGACACCATAAAATAAAATCAACAAACCCTTTATTGGATAGGGAAGCTGTGTGGAGGTGACAAAGCTGAGGTTGAACTTTCTGTTGACTCTCTGTAGTCGCTGCACAACTATTTCTGTCACATGTGCTTTGAATGAAAAGTTGGATGTCTTCTCAAGTCGAATGTGTTTTCCAATTTCCCAGCTCCCTACTAGAATCCAGCAACTGGTGGTCACTTGCTGCAAGACAGAGCCATGCAACAGGGACTCTTTTTGTTTTAACTTCCACCATGTCTCTGGCAGTATGTCTAGGGTTAGGGTTTGGTTTGGGTTTGGTTAATGTGCTCTCCTTTTCATAGATTTTTCACCTCTTTGCACTACTTACATTGAAACACGTTTAACAGAAAAACTGTACCTACAAAATGAATGACGGTTCACTTGAAATCCAACATTTAGTCCCTGAAATCTTTTTAGCATGTTGCGAAAGCCTAAGCCCTGAGCCTAGACAAGTCACTGGTGACTGGATGGATTCCAAGAGTTAAACTTTACAAAACTAGCTAGACAGGTGACTTCAGTCATGCTATCAAGTGATCAAGTGAATAATAAGCAGTTGTGCTTTGCAAGATACCGAGCTGAATTCTGGCTCAAACCTCTTGTAGCCTCTCTTTCTGGTGCTCTGCTTTCCTTCCACAGTCCAAAGATATGCTCTCATCTCTGATGGATGAGGAGCCTGCCCAGGGTGTACCCTACGTTTCGCCCTACACCTGCGGGGATAGGCTCCAGCATCCCCATGACGCTTACTTGGATAAGTGGTTAACAAAGTGGATCATTGGATGGATGAATAAAGTTTCAAAGAGGCAGACTGCTAGATTAGTAAATTAAAAATACAATGCCCCAAAAACCAAACATGATGGATTTGCAGATAGCCGATAGATTTGTACAACTACCCAACTCTAACGTTGCAGGATAAAAACCTGTTGGTTCTTCCAATGATGGATCGCAGGCAGCAGATCTTGTGTGTTTTAAGTGAGGA